GTGTCTCACACCTGTAGTCATAGCTACTCGGGAGGCTGAGATCTGAGGATCATGATTTGAGGCTGCCTGGGCAAGAAAGTCCATGAGACTCTTATCTCCAATTAACCACCAGACAACTGGAAGTGGTGCTATGGCTCAAATTTGTAGAGAGCTAGCCTTGAGCAAAAAAGCTCAATGATAACACCCAGGCCCTGAGTTCAAGCCTCAGCACTGACAAAAATAAATAATTTTTTAAAAAGAAGTTTGAAATCACTTGAGCTATATACTTCTAGCCAATTTTTGCTTTTTGTTATGTTTCAGATAGGGTCTCATGCTTTTTTCCCAAGATGGTTTGGAACAATGAACCTCCCACTTATGCATCTTTCATATCTAGTATTACAGGCATGCACCACTACACCCAATTCTCTATTGTATTTTGAACATCAGCATTTAAATATTTCTGTGAACCTAAATTATCCTCCAAGTATTAATAAATTCCTTCCTTTTATAGCATTTTCTCCCATTATATATTAATTCTTTTCCATCTTTGTTTTATTTTTATCATCCCTCATACATTTCAAAAAACAGTAATCCAATTTTTATTCAACTGAAAATGTTATTGTAACATCTTCTAAGTTTTCTTATAATTTAAGTAACATTATAGTGCTGGAATACAAAGGCATAACTCCACAAGCATGTGACAGCCTCTGTATAGAGAAGTTTTATCATTTGCCATCCCTTGGAAGCAATTGTTCCAAGTAACTATTCCAATATATCTTATGATAATGTCACAATCTGCATGTCTATAGCTGGACATTAACATATTTAGTTGTAGTTGGCTTTGAGAAAAAAGGCAGATCCTTATCTCTTTTGTTGCAGATCTGCTTTATCTGCAAGAGCTTAGTTCACTTAGCCACACATAACTGCAAAAAAAATAATATGATAAGCAATCTGCCAGAGTAGCCATTTGCTTGGGTGCAGTTCTATTATTACAGAAGAAAGGAAGTACGGATTTTGTTGAATATCTATCAGAGTCTTTCATAATGACAATCTTCTTAAATCCAATAAACTATTTCAAAACTTGATGTTTTTTCTTGATTTTCTGAAGCACCAGTTGCTTTTGTTTTTCCTCATTTTCTTTTTCTTTATTTTTTTGGAGCAATGAGGTTTAAATTAAAGACCTTTCACTTCCAAAGCGGGCACTCTACTACTAAGACATGCCTTTTTTTCTTGCACTGATTATTTTTAAGCAGGGTCTAGATTACTGCCTGGACATGCACCTGAATCTTAATTCTGCTATTTTCTCACTTTTCATTGAAAGTGGGATGGTAGGTATGTGCCACCACACCTAGCTTTTTATTGAGAAGGAGCATTCTATGTGCCTAGGCTAGACTTGACCCTCAGTTTTCCTGATCTCTGTTTCCTAAGATGTTAGAATTACAGACATGGGCCTTTGGTTTGCAGATCTATATTTACCTTTTGGTTTCACAATTTTTAACTCAAGACATTCTCTGATTTTAATACGATTTTTTTCCTCTCTCAGGAAGGGGACAGAAAACACTGTATAAAAGGAAATGTATTTGTTACTGACTGGTGTATTTGCAATCCTTCTGTACAGCATCTTAATAAACAATGTAAATTATAAAAAAGAAGAATTATTTCTCAGAGTTTGAGCTAAGTCTTTTCTATTTGGCATGTTAGTTTATTATTATAATGCGCTCCATATTTGTCATTCTCCATAAAGATTATCTCAATCTTATTTGTGTCATGTATCTTGTAAAATACAAAACTGAATACCATGTGTTAGACACACGGTAAACTTTGTGGGTTTTTTCCTGATTATATGTAAATATGAGAACAAAGGAGTTTATTAACTACAATTAGTAAACTCAGTGGAAAAGAGAATATCATGGTAGCTACTAAAGAAGTTGCCTGAATAAAATGCTATCCTTTCTTTGAGTTATCAAAAGCAATGGTAACTGAATGCATAAATAGACCTTGTTTGGCTTCTGATTTAAACAAATGAGCAATAAGGTGCCTTTTGTCAAGAACTGAGGTAAACCAAAGTGACTGGGGATAAATGGTTTCAAAAAAGTCATGCTAGGGCTGGGAAGGTGGCTCAGTGGTAGAGCGCTTGCCTTGCATGCCTGAGGCCCTGGGTTCAATTCCTCAGCACCACATAAGCAAAAAAAGAAAAAAAACTGGAAGCGGCACTGTGGCTCAAGTGGTAGAGCACTAGCCTTGAGCTGAAGAGCTGAGGGACAGCGCCCAGGCCCAGAGTTCAGGCCCCACAACTGGACCCAAAAAAAAAAAAAAAAAAAAAAATTAAAAAGTCATGCTATATTTCCTGATCAGAAGAATAATTTTGTTCTTGTATTTTCAAAAGCTTAATCTATTAGAGAGTCTTAATATATTTAGAGGTAAGTGGGAACATGATTATGAATACAACAGGTGCATTGTGAAATTTTTCAAAAAGAAAAAAATTGCACAGTATTGAAAAACATTATAGAGACACATGGTGGCGCTACAGGATAAGATGAGATGAGCCATACCGGCACTGGGGGCTCCATTACACAAAACAGACTAACACACTGAAGGGGAATGTATTAAAGGAGCTTCACCTACGGAGCTGCAGGACGGCTGCATATTTATCAGAGATTTCCTATCTAAAAATTAGAGCTAAAGCTTTCAAAATTAAGGCCAAATCAACGTTTTTCCATAAAAGAAGTGACCTGAAAGAACCATGGGGATCAGAGAAGCACTGGCTCTTCAGAAAAGGCAAGTGCTGATTTTCTTTGTTTTGCTACGATTGTCTCATGCTAGTACTGAATCTGTGCACTATATTATGCCAGAGGAAACTGAAACGGGTTCATTTGTGGCTAATCTTCTGAAGGACTTGGGGCTAGGGGTGGAGGAGCTGTCCTTCCGGGAAGCTAGGGTGGTGTCTGATGACAATAAAAGGCATTTGCGCCTTGATTTGCTGACGGGAGATTTGCTTCTAAATGAGAAACTGGACAGAGAAGAGCTGTGTGGCTCTGCAGAACCCTGCATACTGCATTTCCAGGTAGTATTGGAAAACCCTTTACAGTTTTTTCAGGTTGAACTGCATGTCAGAGATGTAAATGATAACTCTCCCACATTCTTAGACAAGGAAATAATTTTGAGAATATCAGAAAGTGCTCCCATTGGAACCACCTTTCTAATGGAAAGTGCTCAAGATGTGGACATAGGAAGGAACAGTCTTCAGAATTACACAATTAGCCCCAATTCCCATTTCCACATTAAAATTAGAAACAGTGTTGATGGGAAGATTTACCCAGAGCTGGTTCTGGATAGAGCATTAGATCATGAGAAGGAATCTGAGCACAGATTAACACTCACAGCACTGGATGGTGGATCTCCACCCAGGTCTGGGGCAACTTTGGTTCTCATTAAGGTTTTGGACATCAATGATAATGCACCTAAGTTTGCTCAGAGTCTCTATGAGGTGCAGGTCCCAGAGGATACACCCATTGGGTCCTGGATAATCACCATGTCTGCTAAGGATCTGGATGCAGGAAACCATGGGAAAATATCCTACACGTTTTTCCATGCATCTGAAGATATTCGCAAAACGTTTGACATGAACGCATTATCTGGGGAAGTTCACTTGAAATCAGCGCTGGATTTTGAAGTGATACAGTCCTATAGTATAACTATTCAGGCAACAGATGGTGGAGGTCTTTCAGAAGAATGCACTCTTGGAATTAAAGTATTAGATGTCAATGACAATCCACCAGAGATAATGATTTCATCAACTACAAAGACAATCAAAGAGAATGCTTCAGAGACCCTGGTCGCTCTATTTAGTGTTCGAGATCTTGATTCTGGAGATAATGGAAGAATGGTTTGTTCTGTTGAAGAAGATATACCTTTTATCCTGAAACCGACCGTCAAGAACTTTTACATGTTGATAACAGAGAGAGCACTAGACAGAGAGGAAAGAGATGAATACAACATAACAATCACTGCTTCAGATATGGGAACCCCCAGGCTGCAAACCCAGCACACCATCACCCTGCAGGTGTCCGACGTGAACGACAACGCCCCCGAATTCACGCAGTCCTCCTACACCCTGTGGGTCCGCGAGAACAACAGCCCCGCCCTGCACATTGGCACCATCAGCGCCACAGACAGAGACTCGGGCAGCAACGCCCAGCTGACCTACTCGCTGCTGCCCGGCCCGCAGCCCGGCCCCGACGCGGCGGCGGCGCTGGTGTCCATCAACGCGGACAGCGGGCAGCTGTTCGCCCTGAGGGCGCTGGACTATGAGGCCCTGCAGGCGTTCGAGGTGCGCGTGCGCGCCGCCGACCGCGGCTCGCCCCCGCTCAGCAGCCAGGCGCTGGTGCGCGTGCAGGTGCTGGACGCCAACGACAACTCGCCCTTCGTGCTGTACCCGCTGCAGAACGCGTCTGCGCCCTGCACCGAGCTGCTGCCCAGGGCGGCCGAGCCGGGCTACCTGGTGAGCAAGGTGGTGGCGGTGGACCGCGACTCGGGCCAGAACGCCTGGCTGTCGTTCCAGCTGCTCAAGGCCACGGAGCCCGGGCTGTTCAGCGTGTGGCCGCACAATGGCGAGGTGCGCACCGCCAGGCTGCTGAGCGAGCGCGACGCGCCCAAGCACAGGCTGCTGCTGCTGGTCAAGGACAATGGCGAGCCGCCGCGCTCGGCCAGCGTCACGCTGCACGTGCTGCTGGTGGATGGCTTCTCGCAGCCCTACCTGCCGCTGCCCGACGCGGCGGCGCCCGAGCGCGCGCAGCCCGACCGCCTCACTGCCTACTTGGTCATCGCGCTGGCGGCCGTGTCTTCTCTCTTCCTCTTGTCTCTGCTGCTCTTCGTGGCCTTCAGGCTGTGCAGGAGGAGCAGGGCGCGCTCGCTGGCCGGCTGCGCGCTGCCCGATGGCCCCTTGCCTGGACACCTGCTGGACGTGAGTGGCACGGGGACCCTGGCCCACAGCTACCAGTATGAGGTGTGTCTGCAGGGAGGGACTGGCACCAATGAGTTCAAATTCCTGAAGCCCATTATCCCTAATCTTGAAATCCAGGGCACTAGTACCAATATGAATGGAATGGAGAATTTTCGGAATAGCTTTGGATTCAACATTCAATAAAACTTTTTCTTCTGAAATTTTAACCTAGTATTCTTGGCAAATCATAGGTCATCCCTTCTGTAATAGATTTTAGAAGTTTCTTCAGTTTTATGCATTTTGATTTGCATGTTGTACTCTAATTTGTTTTAAACATCTTTATCAAGGATATAATATGAAATGTCTTAATTACTGTGTAGTTTTACCAAAATATTAATGAAATTGCTATTATTTTGTGATAATTCTATTGTTACGTATGCAAAGTCAAATTTGTAGTCATTTGGAACGGCAAGCTAAGGGACTAAAAACAAACACCAGGACTTATATGTAGCTCTCTAGTGCACAAGCATGTACGAGGCATTGGGTCTCTTCCACAACAGAAGAAATATGGAAGAAAGCAATGAAGAACAAAGTTAATAAAACAAGGGACGGAGGAAAAGGAAAGAAAAGAATGAAGTAAGAGAAAAAACTTGGAGGGTGGGTTGAAAGGGCAGATATCATTATATACAGATTAAATAGCCAGACAGATGGATACATGGATAGCTAACATTATTTTTATACAGCATCAAAGCAGAGACAAAAACAAAAAATAATGATGAATTTGGAGGACACACATATTGTATCAATTGCACTAAACATTGCAAACATTTTCAAAATAAAGGTAAAAGTATGCTACACTTCCATATTCAGCACTAGAGAACTGTTTTATGTAGTATTTCAAAAAATACATTTTAGATGAAACAGTGATAATATTGTAAAAGGAGGAGTTTTCTATTGATCTGACTGTGGCATTACTATTACAGTGTGTTTACTTCATCTTTATTTCTTTAAATTTTTTACTTTGTATCATTTATCACTAAAATAGTACATATTTCATAGTCTCATTATAAGTACAATTACCCTACATTAGAAGACAAGTCAAAAACATAAAAAATTAAAATTATCTTGTTATAAAGATAATTATTTAGCTTCTCGTTCCTAATCATTGGCAAGAGTAAATACAGTTCTGAGTGTTGTGGTACATGCCTGTTACTTCAGCACTCAAGGCTGGAGTTTGAATAGCATAGCAGGATACTGAGGCCCTGTTTTCAAAACTGTGAAAACAGAGATTAGTGATGTAACTAGTAGTAAAGTGTTCATCTAGCAAGCATAAGGCCTTGAATTCCATTCCATACTTTGCAGTATAAATAAAAAGAGTCAGTATAGACACTGGGCCCTATACAACATTTCACATTTCCAGAATCCATTCCATTCAGAAAAACTTAATAACACTAATGCCTTCTGACTTCTCTCAGAAACCGACAAAGGAGGTATAAATCTTTATTTCTGGTTTATATTTGCCCCCAAATGTATACAGGGACAGTTCACTCGTGGATTATATAGATGTTGTTAACACAATGTACTATGGACACAGTTAGTGTGCATTCAAGTAATTGCTTCTATAAAATCAAATGTTATAAACTAGATGGTAATAAAATGGGCTTTTACTTACCGTTATGAAATAGCTAAAACCATTTTCAGTTTCCTTAGAAATTTTTCATGAAACTTTGAGTCTTGGTGTGTATTAAAACAAGTGTTTATTAGTAGAGTGCATTTCATTTAACTTGGTATTAAACTATAGTATCTTGAACAGTTAGATCCTCTTCATTTTTCAGACATGAGTTACAACTCTGCATGTGAAAGCCACTGGTTAAACCAATGAGTAGACACTGATGAAATAAGCATTTTTAGAATAACAATGTAGCAAAACTGTAAAAGAGAAGGACAAGAGCAATGTATCTTTATATTGCTCTTTAAATTTTAGGTCATCCTTTGCAACACTGAGACATACAAGACACTATGTTGAAAAGGAACTTTACAACTTGGGGGAAGTGGAGAGGGAGGAGTTGGGGAGGTGGGAAGAGAAGATAGTAGGGGAAAAACAAAGGAGGGGGTAACAATGCTTGATAGCAATTGTACTTAATAGCTTACTCATGTAACTGTATCCCCTCTGTACATTATTGTTACAATAAAAATGTAGATAAATATGTATTTTATTTTTTTGGCCAGTCATGGGGCCTAAACTCTGGCCCTGGGCCCTGTCCCTCAGCTCTTCAGCTCAAGGCTAGCCCTCTACCACTTGAGCCACAGCGTCACTTCCAGCTTTTTCTGCTTATGTGGTGCTGAGGAATCAAACCCAGGGCCTCATGCATGCAAGGCAAGCGCTCTACCACTGAGCCACCTTCCCACCCCAAAAATATATTTTAAAAACATAAAAAATTAAAACCAAGACATTGAAAAAAATTTAGGTTATCTTTCTCCCTCTAATCTGTAATGGATTTTAGGAGGTTCTGTAGTCACATGGGCTTTCATTTCTATTTTGTTCTCTCATCTGTTTTAAAAATCTTTATCAAGGATATAACTACCTGAAATACAATCTTCACTTGCTGTCTTATTTTTGCAAAAGTGTTAATGAAGCTGCTGTTGTGATAATGCTATTGTTATGTATGCAAAACAATATTTGTAGTCATGTGGAGTTATAAACTGAAATATTGAAAACAAAGATCATGACTATGTATGTAGCTGTCTATATCACTAACTAATACCTTGCCACAGTGCTGGATCCAAGAGTTTACCTGCTTCTATTTTTTCTTCTTTACTTCTAATGACATGTGAGGTGGGGAGGTAGGGGCATCAAGGAGAGCTCCAACTGTTCACAGAGTTGAGCAGCCTACTTATACAGTCAGAAGGAGAGGGGATCAGGATGTCTCCACCAATCATGACACTCCCCTCATGTTTGTTCCAATAATGGTCTGATCCATTATGCATGAAGGATTGTATTCACACAAATGAAAGGTAGGCCTTAAGTACTCACAATCTTTCTGAATTGTTTGGAAGTGGTAGTTTGGCTGTTGGTCTTCTGTTGAACCCAAGCACCTTTCAAAAGTGTGCTTACAACAAAGGATTATTAGTAACAGTACTTTAACAATGCTTCAGATTGTTAACACTGCTTCTCTTTGAGAGTCTCAGGAAAAGGTGTGTCCTTATCATCTTTTTTAAAACAGGGATTTTCATCTTGAGGATGTTTTCTACTGTAAGTGCGCTACTAAATTACATCTCTAGCTTAAGCTGCATCATTTCTGAAATCAAATTCAAATATCCTCAACTTATGATTTATTATATTTCCCAAAGGAGCAACAATCATAATCTATGCCAATAAATCTCAAATTTGTTTCTGCAGCTTGAACTTCTTGCCTCAGTTTAATTTATACAATGGAAGATCATTTACATAAACATGAGTGCTCTGTGAATACATCAAAGTTGATTTTCTTTTTTTTCTTCCTGATACGTGGTTACTCTGGAAATCAGGTGCTCTCCTACATGAGCCATGTTGCAATCCCCTTTTGCTTATGTAATCATTTAAAATGTAATTATGTTATTATTAAGGTGTTGAATATAATTTAAGTAATGAGTACATTTCTTTTGGACAATGTCACCACAATGTCACTTTCATTTTCCACAGGGTCTACTATGGCTGCATTTGTTCACCTTCCTCCTTTCATTTCTGTACTTCCCTTCCCTCCCTCCAAAAGACAATATTTTAATTTTACTTTGTTGGTCGTGAGGCCTGAACTCTGGGCCTGGGTGCTGTCCCTTCAGGTCTTCAGCTCAAGGCTAGCGTTCTACCATTTGAGCCACAGCACCACTTGTGGTTTTTTTCTGCTTATGTGGTCCTGAGAAATTGAACTCAGAGCCTCATGCATACAAGACTGAGCCAGCTTCCCAGCCCCAAAAGACAATCTTTTATATATAATCTTTTAAACAAGGTGTACTTTCGGCTGGGCCTGCCTGAAGCAAATCCTGTTTACATCTCTTATGTGGGATCTGGGATGAGGGTTGTGTGCCACCACATATGTTGAGGTGGGTGCATCTTTCTAACTTTTTCTTCCAGTTCTTAACCTCCTGAATAACTAGGGTTTTAGTTGTGAGCCACCATGTGCCAACTTCATCAATGGCTTTGAATATATTTTTTTCTCCCCAAAAAGTAAAATTATCTTCTCCTCTAGCTCTATATGTTCCTCTTCCTTTTTTTTTTTTTTTTTTTTTGGTCGGTCATGGGGCTTGAACTCTGAGCTTGGGCGTTGTCCTGGCACTCTTCAGTCCCGGCGCTCTTCAGCTCAAGGTGAGCGCTCTAAGGCTTGGAGCCACAGCCTCACTTCCGGTTTTCTAGTGGTTTATTGGACATAAGAGTCTCATGTACTTTCCTGACTGGTCTGGCTTTGAACCGCAATCCTCAGATCTCAGCCTCCTGAGTAGCTAGGATTACAGGCGTGAGCCACCGGTGCCCAGCTCCTCTTCCTTTTTTGTATGTAGTTTACCATCAATGCCTGAAGCTTGAAAACCATTTGTTGATTTTTTTCCTCCTTCCTATCTCATCCTATGTCTAATTTATTACCATATCCAATATTAGTTTATCTTTCCAGAACAGTTATTGGGTTTCCAACTGAGGCCAGTATCATCTCACACTTGTATTGCTGCAACCAGTTCTAATCAGTCTTAGTCTTTCACTCCTTTCTAATTTATTCTCAACTCTGAAACAAGTTAATCAATACCTTCATAATAACAATAAAATTATATTTAAAAATAAAAATAAGTAAAATCATGACTGTCACATTTCTGTTTAGAATGCTTTATTTTTTTCAGATAAACAGAACAAGGAGTCTTTATTAGCTGTATGGTGAAGATAACCCACTATTGAGGTAGTGATGTTTAGTGTAGGTTTTGTAATCAGCAGGGTTTTTAAAGAGAAAAACGACAAACAGGTGGTGTTTGTCGAAGCAAAGCAGGCTGATTTTGAGATGCAAAACATAGCCTTGAGCTGCAGAAGCAGAAGAAAAACATAGCTGTGAGCAGGGGTACAAAACATTAGAAACTCATTGTCATGGTTGGGGGTGCATAGAAATTTTCTACAAAAATGTTTTTTTAAAAAATATAATCCTGTATACTGTACAGAGGGGTTACAATTACATGGGCAAGATAATGAGTACATTTCTTATCAAGCATTGTAGCTTCCTCCTTTGTTT